TGGAGCCGGATGTGGGGCTCCATCCTCGCTCGCCCCTCTCCCCATCATTCTTGATGGGCAATGTGCTAGTATATACACACACATATATATACTAGCACATTGCCCATCAAGAATAATGTGGGGCCGGGGAGGGGTGAGCAGGGACGGACATATACATATACATACATACATACAAGTAGGTTTTTCAGTTTGGTTTTTGGATTTCAATGTGGCAAACCTTGATAAATGAAGGAAAATTGTTATTTGGATAATGAAATTCAGAGGCTTGAATGTAAATTTCATTTAAAATATTTCCAGGCCACAGTGCCAAGCCTATTAGGAATCTCTATGTGATTCTCTATGAGAATCAGTAGGAAGTGGCTCCAAATCTAAGTGGATGTGGACCTTTACAGGAAATAAGGAATACACAGAGACTCAACAAAGATTAAAAAAAAAAAAGATTCATTAGCAAAGAAGTCTCTGTTTTAGAAGTCAAGAGTATAGGGATAAGGTGAGAAATGGAAAAATAAAGGTGAATTAGACACGGCAAAAAACATGAAAAAAATGGCAAAGTATTATTCAGATATATAAATTAGAAGAGGACACAGAAAAAGAGTAGGGTTGATGTAATGAAGATAGAAAAAGGCATATTTCATGTTTTCATCATGACCCTGCCACAAGTGTTAGGAGTTTGCTGATGAAAATTTCTGATGAGAAATGGTCAAAACTGAAAAGAACCAGGGCATTGTACAGAAAAAAAAGCTGGAACCTGAGGACTGAAGTAGTAGCAATGACATAACATTAATCTGCACAAAAGGTACGGGTGATGGTCTTGGAGATTCATTAAAAATGTCCAGTATACAGTTACAGTGAATACCATGGAAATGTTTGACAAGGAAGAGGACTTGCATGTATATTGGTAACACAGGGTAAGTATGATTACTCAGACTGATAAGGATGTGAAAAAGAGTTCTAGGATGTGTGTGTCAGAAAGGGAAGCATTAGTGGCATTACACATATTCTTGGATTAACTCATTCAGAATACTATGTATAATGCAGGGAATGTGGAGCATATTTTATGAGAACACATTAAAAGACTTGGTCATTTTTAGTTTAGCAGAATGAGGGCTTAAAGATATGACTGACTGATAAATACATGAAAGGCAAAATTTAGAGAGGGAAAAGAACAATTTAAGCTAAAAACATTGGC